TATATATATATATATATGTATGTATATAGTTCGATAAAGAAAGATTTACAATTAACAACACATTGTTTAACCTGCCAGAAATCTATCTGCTAGCATGTATTGTAAACATGTTTGAGAAAGTACTTCCTGACTTTAAAAGGTTTTTTTTATTATCTTTGATTTTATAATATGATTTTATGTACAAACGATATATTTATGATACAAACAATAAATTTGGTTACATATTTGTTGTTGTAAATATTGCTTGATATATTTTAATATCAGCTTGGATATATTATTTTTAGTAAAGTTAATCTTATACTGTATAAATTGTTTTTTTTTAGAGAAGTTAAGGGTGTTATGAACAACAATGTTTTTATATCTTATAAAAGTATGGGCAGAGATATTCGTCATGCCATGGATTGGGTACATTTATATGTAAGTTTACATTATTATCTAAAAAAAAAGATATAGTTATTGAATATTATATAGTTGAATTTTTTTTTTTTTTTACAATAATAATGTTTTTTTTTTTGTTTTTGTTTTTTTTACACAACAGTTAGACAAATAAAAATAACAGTTTTGACTGTAATATTCTTTTAATAATTTTGTAATAAACTATTTGAAAAAATATATTAAATATATTTTCAATCATCTATCACTCTTTTTAATAATAGTATACATCTTTTTTTGAGCAAATTTTTGCCAGTGAAATTTCTCATAATCTTAATCTTTAGACTTATTATTTAATAATAGATGATTCTGCATAATTATTATAATCTGATGAATAAATTGAATTGCAATTGCATTGACAGTTTGGGGCTAATCTTGAACTAAAGATACTAATAAAAGAGAAAGTTTACATTAAAAGCTTATAGAATAGCATATGGTACTGAAATAAATTTGTTGTCCTGAATATTTTCATTTATTTAAATTTGTTTATTTTTTTCTTTTAATGCTAAATTAAAATTTTCTTCATTTCTTTCTTTTAATTTATTTCAGTAGCACTTATTATTCCTTATGCTAACAGCTTTTAACGTAAATTTAGTGTTTTATAAGTATCTTTAGTTCAAGATTAGCTTCACACTGCAATACGATTGCAATTCAGTTCATTCATCATTACATTCAAGGTATAAGCTAACCATTAATTTAAATAAAAGTTTGTGTTACCTTTGTTTCTTATTGTGATGTTACTTACTCAAGTTTGTTTTGATATTTTAACACATAAATCTTTTTTGATTTCTGTCTTTCTAACAAAAATACTCAACTTTTTAACTCACTTTCTAGACAATTCGAATCATTTACCTTCTCCCTAGTCAGTGCTCAGTTTCTCTACATTGACCCTTAGATGCTTCTGATCATACAAACCTTTGTATGTTCATACTTATGTCAAATGAGAATGTTTTGCAAAAAGTTGTGGTGATTTTAGCTTGGGGACAAAAAACCCCAATTTTCGGGCCCACCCAGCCGTTAACGTGGGAGCAACAAGTTGATAAAATAATTTCTTTAGTATTTTTGTCTAAGTTTATATTCATCAACGAATTTCAAATTTCATGCAATAACCTCTTAGTTTTTAGTTTTTATGACCCTACAAAGTTTACAGCCCCCTCAAATTGAGGGGGTTTAAAACTTTATATGGTCATAATTTTCGAAAAATAAGAAATTATTGGATGAAATTTGAAATTTGTTGATGATTATAAACTTAGATAAAAATACCAAAAAAAATAATTTTATCAACTTGTTGCTCCCATGTTAAGGGCTGGGTGGGCCCAAAAATTGGGGTTTTTTTTGTCCCCAAGCTCTTTGCAAAACTTTCTCATTTGACATAAGCATGAACATACAAAAGTTTGGAGTTTGCACAATACCTGTAAGTCTCAAAACTCAAACATCTAGAAGTCCAGTGTACACCACTGGCTTAATAGAGATTAAGTTTTTGCAGTTTTTAATTTTATTTGAGTTTTTTTCATTAGTAAATAGCGCTTACATCTAACATAATTGTCATTCAAACTTTTTTACATAATCAGTTTGATCCATTACATAAATAGGTTGATCCATATATGATGTTTGTATTAGGGATGTACCGAAGCTTCGGCTTCGGCATGCCGAAGCTTCGGCAATTTTGCTGAAGCTTCGGTTCGGCCGAAGCCAGGTCAATTTTTTGCCGAATCTTTGGCTTCGGCAAAAAATTTTAAGTAATTAAAGTTATAAGCTACTGTGGGACAAGTTATAAAAATAAGCTAATTGCCAGTGTCTAATAAAGTTATAAATTTAGGACTACAGAGTTAAAGTTGGAGTCTATACCATATACTTAGTATTATTTACTCCCAAGTGTCTTGTTATGAAGGGGATAATAATAAATAAGTAAAAATGTTTTGAAAAAAATAATAAAATTAGGGAAGGTCCTCATACACTTTGAAAGCTTCCAAGTGTGACTTTAGATGAACTGAAGCAGCATTTCTATGCAGAATAAAAACCTTATAATTTAAAACAAATTAAAAGTTTTTAAAACCTTAATTTGTATTATGTAACGAATTCATATTAATTATTGTGTGGGATTACCGCAAATAGAACAAAATTTGGTTTCAACATTTGACCAATAAACCTTAGTAATCTCTCTTTAAAAAAGATACGTTGCTACTATTTTAAATTGTGTGTATGTTTAAATTTTTAAAATTTTATTTAACCATATTAATAAAAATTTACAAATTTTCATCGTAAATTTACAGAAATTGGTTAGGTGTCACTTATATAAATACAAAATAGTCAATGGAGTGACACATAAAAAACAAAAAGTTCTCAACAACAAAAAAGGAAGAAAAGCAAATGAAATATAAACGAGGAGAATAAAAAAAGAAAAAAAAAGCCAACAAAAACTAGATAAATTAAAAGAAAAAGAAAAACAATGATAATAACTATCCTTGCTCTTTTCTTAATATTATGAATACTTCTAAATTGAATTTATATATTAAACATGTAAACCAATATTCTGGTTTCTTCTTATGATATTATGATGACTTTTAAATTTTATTTAAAATAAATTAAAGGTTGAAGCTTTGATTACTTTGAGCTCTTATATTTATCATCAAAATTTATTTAAATTAAATAAACAATTTAAATCAAATAAATATCAGCTAGCTCAATCCCTGTTTATTTATAAATATAAAGTGAATAATAATATAATTATAAATAAAAAATTTATAAAGTATTCTATTTATTATTTTATTTAAAGCTTACTCTACAGAGTTGTTAGATTACTATGGAAGCTTTTACCACAGATAGTTAATATTTGATTTCAGATACTGATGCAGATTTATCCATTATAGAGACAGAAGAAGAATGAATACTAAGATTTTAAAGTGTAAAAAATTAAAAAAAGCTATAGAAAATGTTATGTAGTGTACAGTTAAAAATAATTAAAAAAAAATACTTAAAAGTGTGTAAAAAAGAAGTTAGAGAGAAATCTATCATTTGTACTTTTTTTTAGCAGCAGGTTCACAACAGTTGTAGTGGAATCCAAAATGGTCTTAACTTGGGTTTTTTTCAGTTTAGAAATTGTTTGTTTAAAGAATACAGAGAAGTAAAAAAAAGATATTGAAATAAATAGCAATAAAAAGATAAAGTGTGTTTCTAAGATTTTTTATGTTGTAGATACAACTAGATCAGCTAAGAGTGTTTATTTAAAGAAAGAGTGATCAAGTGCAAAAGATAAATTTACTCTAGTAATGTTCAGAGATTTTTATCCATTTCTATTAACAAAAGGTGCATTAAAAATAAAAATAAAATATACAGCACATAAAAAGATGCTATATAACATTAATATGGTTTGCACACAGAAAAAGTAGAACTAGAAGTAGGAAAATTTGGGAAGAATGTTTTAAAAAAGCTTAAGTTTAAAAAAAAAACGCTCGGTGCAGTCAAGTATCAGAAACGACATAATGAGAAATATTGAAACAGGAGCGCTGAGAGCTTTTGCTCTGCCTGGAACAGCAACCCTGACTGGCGTCCTCATTTTCATACGATTTTTCTATATTATTAGTCAAGGACTATAGTTTTGGTACCTTTTTTGTTTTATACCCCTGCTGATCTGAATGCTGATTAAATTTTAAGCATATATAGTGCCGAAGCTTCGGTTTCGGCAAAGTGGCTTCGGCCGAAGCTTCGGCTTCGGCAAAATTTCAGCTTCGGTACATCCCTAGTTTGTATCACTCCAACTTCTGTATCTAAAATGATTTCCTGCTTAAACTCTTCTACAGCTTGTGGTCCAAACTACATACCTGTTATAGTCTTGCAGAAGTTTTCTCTGAAGCTTTTGACTATACTTTGAAAATTATTTAACAAGTGCTTATCAGAATCTTGTTTTCCAGCCTGCTGCCTGATAGCAGCATCTGTTATCCCTATTTTTTAAAAATTCTAAAGAGCAATCTGACTCATCTAAATACCGTCTTATTAGTCTACTTACTATCATATGCAAGGTTTTTGAGTTTTTAATTAACAAACACTTAATCTCTCATCTTAATAATATCTATCTAATAACATATTTTCTTTGATTTTCTTTGATTTTCTTTTTATTGATTATTAATATGGATTTTGGTCTTCTTGTTCTACTGCTGATTTTTAACAGTAATAACCAATAGGTTTTATCGTGAACTAGATAGATATGGAGAGGTTGAGGTTATTGCTCTTGACATTTCTGATAAGTTTGGCATGTCAGGTATTATTTAATTATTATTTGGCATGTCAGGTATTATTTGAAAGATTATTAAATCTCTCCTTACCAATCCTAGTATAAAATTTGTCCTCGATGGACAGCACTCTTTTTCATATCCTGTAACTTCAAGGGTTCCTCAAGGTTCTATCCTTGGCTCTATACTTTTTTTTAATTTACAGTAAAAATCTCCCAGAAATTCTCTATGTATCATCATCAAACAATGCCATCTAAGATGTCATTGTTCAATGATGATACTACCATTTATTGAGTCTTGATAAGAACCCAACACTCTCTGATTGCTTGGAGGAGGCATCTGAGCTTGAGAAGGATCTCACTTCTGTTACATCATGGGGCTCACAGTGGCTGGTGAACTTTAACTCAGTTAAAACTGAAAAAACTTTAAAAGTTTTTTTCAGCTAATTGTTATTGCAATAATCTAGATAATCTACCTTTCATCTTCTAGGATTAACTCTTACTTCTGATCTCTCTTGGAAACCTATATGGAATCTATTTCAAAATTAGAATCTGCTAAGGTTGCATCTATTTATCATGCTCGCCACTTTCTTACTCATTCTTTATCTCTATAAATTTCATATTTGTCCTTGTATGGAATACTGTTGCCATATCTGGGGCGGATCTTCCAATGATGCCCTTTCTATTTTAGACAAGGTGCAAAAAAGCATTGTAAATGTAGTTGGACAGGCTCTTGCAGCCAACATCTATCCATTATCACATTGTCGTAATGTTGCTTCTCTTTCTCTTTTCTATAAATACTATAATTTGCACTTCTCTAGAGAGCTAGTGTCTCTTGTGCCATCTACTAAACTTCATTTTCGTGTTACTTGCCATTCAATCAAGTCTAATTTTTTTACTGTGACTGTTCCTAAATGTTTCAAAAATTCTTATTTGTCTAGTTTTTTTGCTCAAACATCAGTCTTTTAAAAGTGGCTTCCTTTATTTTGTTTTCCAAATTCATATAATTTCAATCTTTTTAGTTGTCTGTTAATCATTATCTTACTCTATTAATTTCATTCTTTTCCAGTAACTTCTAACTTAAAGGTGGTTGCTTGCAGCCTTTTTGAAAGTGAAGATGTTATCATATATCAAATATCAATAGCATATATCACATATCAACATTAAAAAAGTAAATGCAAATATTAACAATAATGTTAAAGACATTAACTTCATATTAATTCTTTTTAAAACCAAAAAAAGAGACATCTGGATGAATTATCTTGACATTTTCATTAATAGCATCAACTTGTAAATTGGTTGTAAATTGCTGTGATTTCCATTAGATTGATTACTGTCATAATAGATTATGGATGATGAGGACTTGTAATTATCAAGTTCCTTCAAGCTTGATAAAGGAATTTTTTATACTATCAGTATTTTCTATACTAGTCAACCAGTCATTTTTAGCATTTATGTTGTTTATCATACTAAAAAGACTATGAATGACTATGGCCTTGAATAAATTCCTAGTCAATTAATGCATGAAAGCTTTATTAAGGATTTAGTTAAAAGAAATTCCTCGGTCTGAATTTTATCTGTTGATATTGTTGCCATCTAATGCTATTTCTATCCAATGCCTAAATGATATATTTGATTTTAACCATTATTTAAAGTCAGCCATAGTTTATAAAATAATTTTTGAAGTGTTGTAATTATTCTTTATCATGTACTGAAATTTTCTATGATTGTGTTTGTATCCTTATTCAGATATCTAGAATAACATTTTTATAAGCCATTTTTGATTTTGATTTTTGTGTATTTTCCGTAATGATAATATAATCTTCCATATAGCTGTCAAACAAATAAGACTTCCATATAGCTGTTAAACGAAAATTTTAAATAAAAATTTTTAAACCCAACTCAAATAAAACCAGATCTTAAAAAAACAAAAACAAAAAAAAAAAATTTTTTTTTAATTTTTGCTGTCAATTTTGTCATATTGTCCTTTACACACAAACATAGGGTTGTCTAACTTTACACACAAACATAGGGTTGTCTAACTTTACACACAAACATAGGGTTGTCTAACTTTACACACAAACATAGGGTTGTCTAACTTTACACACAAACATAGGGTTGTCTAACTTTACACACAAACATAGGGTTGTCTAACTTTACACACAAACATAGGGTTGTCTAACTTTACACACAAACATAGGGTTGTCTAACTTTACACACAAACATAGGGTTGTCTAACTTTACACACAAACATAGGGTTGTCTAACTTTACACACAAACATAGGGTTGTCTAACTTTACACACAAACATAGGGTTGTCTAACTTTACACACAAACATAGGGTTGTCTAACTTTACACACAAACATAGGGTTGTCTAACTTTACACACAAACATAGGGTTGTCTAACTTTACACACAAACATAGGGTTGTCTAACTTTACACACAAACATAGGGTTGTCTAACTTTACACACAAACATAGGGTTGTCTAACTTTACACACAAACATAGGGTTGTCTAACTTTACACACAAACATAGGGTTGTCTAACTTTACACACAAACATAGGGTTGTCTAACTTTACACACAAACATAGGGTTGTCTAACTATTAGTTGTAGCATAATTAAAACAATTTTTTTTAGGGAAACCTAAAGTCTATTACAGTTGCAGATCCTGATAAATATATTGCAAAAGATGTAAGAAAATTTAATTATTTTCTTTGTATACTTGCTATGTTTACTTCTACAAATAATTTATTATACTTATTATTATTTTTTTATAGCCGCGAATTCCACAGCTACTTTACAGGTTTTTTCAATATTTCAAATTGTTTTTGATTTTGATATTTTAAATTTGTTAAAATATTTCATCAAGTTACAGTGGTGCAAATTTTTTGTATATGGTAGTTGCTCTCTAAAAAGTGGTGGCATAATGTTAGAGTGCTCATTTCATAAGCAAGAGAACTTACACTACAATGCGGACATTGTGGGTAGTAACTTGCTTATTATGTTTTCTCATACAGTAGGTTTATTTAAATTTGTGATCTAGATTTATAGAGATGTGATGTGAGAGTAATATAATGAACTTGTAATGACCTATTTTTATGGGTAAAAATGAATTAACTAATTGAAACTGATAAAAATGTGAAACTTTTTTTTTTTTCTAAACTTTCATATTGTTTTTATTTTTAGTAATCCCCTGTTGCGTTACTTATTTTAATTGACACAAGTCATTAGACAAAAAAACGAACTTTTTTGGTTTTATTTTTTAAAGTCATTTATATATATACAGACAAAATGTGATTTATATATACAACAAAAAGAGCTTGTTCAAAAACAGATTTTTTCACAACCTTTTAACAATTTAAACAATGACCGGATAAATGTTTCACTTATTATTAGATTAGCTCTATCTTTTTGACTATCAGATTAAGCAAACTTTCCAAAACTACTGAATTGCAATTGCTTTTGTTTGTAATTTATATAAAAATATAGTATATATATATTTTTTTGTTGTTTTAATTATTCACCTCCCCAAGGCCCAAGGGGGCCACTACAGTCGAGGAGGCTACTCTTTTTCGAGGTCAAGGAGGCTACTCTACTTTTTTTTCTTTTTTTTTTTTTGTTGTAAATTGTGGTACAACCCTATCTTAACTCTTTAACTCCGAAACACGAACCTTGACAAGCAAGGCCGCTGCACGGAGAAATTAAGTTGAGCACGGTACTTCCAGGGACGTGGTGGGAGTCGAACTCCGAACCTCTCGCTTACAAAGCAAGCGTTCTTACCACTACACCACTACCGCAACTATAATAATGATAATTAAAATTAAGCTTTCTTTGTTGTTTTCCTTATTTTTCTTTACACTTAAATATGTAGATATAAATTATAGTGTAATATGTTAGCAAATATTTTTATTGTTATTATTTTAATATATTAATTTCCCAAAGGTACTTATATCAAAGAGGTTACTTGTTTTTGTTTTTTTGTTTTTTTATTTTTTTTTATTTCTGAATTATTGTTTTAACTTTCTCTCAACTGTTTATGTATGGTTGTCTTCTTCTTGGGATTTGATGGGGTTAAATAGAGGTACACCTCTGTATTGCCTACTGTGCAAGCACTCCATCATTACACTACTACTATATTGAATATTTTGTTATAAATAAAGTATAAACTTGATTTAGTTTTTTTTTGTTTATAAATTGATTTTTTTTTTAATTTTTTCTATTTCATTTTGTGCAAATTTTTAGAATGAGAAAAGCAGGGAAAAAAACTTTTTTACTTACTAACAGTGACTATAAATATACTAAGGTAATTTTACATTGTATTTGTAAATATAGGAATTAATTTACACTGTTGATTAAGTTAAGAATATTGCATATTTTAAAAAAAGTAATTTAGATCTACTTTATGTTTTGTTTGTAAAAAAATATTATATTTAAAAATTTTTTTTAAAGGAAGTAATGAAGTTTCTATGTGATTGCGCTGAAAGTCCAGAGGTATGTTCAATTTTATATGCCTAAAGTTAAAGTAAATATTCTGATTAAAGTACATAATAAAAAATCCTGTACTAAATTATAGTAAACTAATTTCATGATTCTTTATTTTTTTAAATTTTTGTTTGCATTATATCCTACCACCATCTGTTGAGCTGATGGTGGGAAAATTGTGAGTTTTAGCTGAATTGAAACATCCTGAGAATATACATAACAGTCATTGAAGCCTTATTTTAGCCCTAATAATAATTTTGGAGCATGATTTAAGATTGGCATCATCAACAAAACCAACATCATCATCAACTAAACCAGGCAACTTGATCAAAAAAAAAAGCTTAAGTTTTTCATATATGTATAAAAATGTTTTTTTTAGGCTTTTTGTCAGTTTTACTGTTTTCATCTCCCCAACACTAAGGGAGTCACACAGTTTATGAGGCTGCTTAAATATATATATATATATATATATATATATATATATATATATATATATATATATATATATATATATATATATATATATATATATATATATATATATATATATATATATATATATATATATATATATATATAGTTTAGATATACAGTTTGTGGTAAAAAACAAGCTCTTTGCTTGTCTAATATATTTAGACTGACAAAATAAAATTAGATTATAACAAACCGCATTAGTTTAATTGAGGAAACTAATTAAATTTAATTAGTTTCCTTAATTAAAACTAGGTAAAGTTAAACATTATTTTACAACTTAAAATCTGTAAAATAATGTTTAACTTTTACTAGTTTTAATTTATTATATAATATGCATATTTGAGATAACATCCAAAATGTTATCTCTAATATGCATATTATATAATAAATTAAAAGAAGATGTTCCATATGTATATATATATGTGTATATATATATATATATATATATATATATATATATATTTTCTATCTTGCATACAGGAAGGTGTTCCCCCTCCTCAGTGGAAAGAACTTTTTGATCTTATTTTGGTTGATGCTAAAAAGCCATTATTTTTTGGTGAAGGTAAGATTGTTTTATTTAAATTGTGAATATTACATGGATTTACTAAATCTGTTAAATTACACAGTTGTTTTTTTTACATAGGAACTGCACTGCGTCAAGTTGATGAAGTATGAAATGTTTTTTTTTCATAATGTAATATTTTAACATATATAACAATTCTATAAACAAATTATTTTATTCTTGAGTTTTTTAAAGTACTATTTAATTATCTAATCCTAATTTCTTATTATTATCCAATCCTGTTTATCCTATATTATATTATCTCTAAATTTTCATATTATTTTTAAATTTATATATATATATTTTTATTTTATATATCTTCCTAAATATATGCTTTATTTTTGTATAATTATTATTGCTGTTCTAGAAAACAGGTCAACTTCGAATCGGAAAGTATATGGGAAAGCTTGAAAATGGCATTATATACTCTGGGGGTAAAATGAAATTGTTTATGATAAAACCATTTTAAATTGAAACTTGTTGTGAACATTTAATTAAAAAATTTTAAAATGCATTTTGGTTATAAATTTTGAAATGAATTTTGATTATAAATTTAGGAAATTCAGAAGTTTTTTCAGAATTAATTGGTGCTGAAGGGAAGGTAATATATATTTAAGTATTGCTACTGAAGGAAAGGTAATTTTTTTTAAGTAACAAATCTAAAAAGTAATTAGTTTATTAACTTTTTATTGCTTCAGTTTGCTTTATTGTTAATTGAGAAGACATATTTTGATATTATGTAGGATATTCTTTTTGTTGGTGATCACATATTTGGAGATATACTCAAATCAAAAAAACAACAGGGTTGGAGGTTTATATTTAATTTATATAAAGACAAAATTTTAAAAAAATAAAATAATTAGCAATTAATTTTAAGTTACACAAAACAAAGGAATTGCACTTTTGCAATAGCACCTTATCCTAAAATTCAAATTTTAAATTTGAATTTTAGGATAAGGTACCATTTTTAATCAGTTAAATACAAAAATTTGATACAAAAACTGAAGAAAAAAAAAATTCAAAATTTTTATGTTTTTTTTCTGTGCCAAGTTGACCTCACCTTATTAAACAGGTCAACAGATCACAGTAAACTGTCTCTAAAATGTTAGCTGTTGTTTTAATTGTAGAAAAATATTTAATCAATATAAATCTGAATAAATAAATTAATGAACAAAAATAAAATTAAAAAAAAAAAGGAAACTATAATTATCCAGTTGATAAACATTATATTTTAATTTTTTTTTCAGAACTTATCTAGTTGTGCCTGAACTAGCTCAAGAGCTTGATGTATGGACTTTAAAACAAGGTAAGTGGGAACAAGGTTAAAATAAGAGGAATGCTATCAGAATGTTTACACACACATTTATTATTTAATATAAATAATAATTATATAATATATATTTATTATTTATATTATATATTTTTTATTTATATTATTTATGTATTGTTTATATTATATATAAAAAATATTTTATTATATTTCATGCATTATATTTTTTAGACATGTTTGAGAGATTGCATCGTTTAGAAATACAATTAGCTGAAACTTATAAGTATGATCATACAGTTTTTTAAATTTTAAATTTATGTAAATTTATGTAAGAACATAATAAACTATTATGAATAATGTAAGACTGATCAACCCAAGTTTTTGTTTTTTGATTTCCTAACTTTTTGTAAAAAAAACATTTTAAAAGTTTTGTTTATCATTTACTACTCATGCATGCTTAATAACTAGAGAAATTGTTTAATAATTTTCAAAAAAATTTCAGAAAATCTTGACCTTTTCTTTTTTACTTTTTACTTATAAATATATATACTTTATAAACCAGCGTTAAAAATCAGAAAATATATGTTCCATACGATTAATAAAATATAAAAGAAAAGAAAACTTTTAATAAAGTGTATGATCTTAAATTATTGAAAAAGATAATTTAAATCAAAGAAAAAAAACATGAAAGGAATTTCCAATGAAAAGAAATATAAAGCTAAAAAAAATGCCAGACTTTGAAAAAAAGATGGAAACAAAATTTTTGAAAAACTGCAGGTAAAAGAATGAAAAGTAGAGAAAGAACTGAAAGTTTCGATAATGGCAAAAAGAAATGACTTCCTCTTTGGAATCAAATCACTCTTCATTTGGAAATGTTCAAGTTAAAGGAAAGAATATGAATAAGTTAAATCGTTCTTTTCCCAAACATCCTGTTTAAAAAAAAAAGAAATTTTGTGTTGTTTACTGAATGAAATTTAACCATCTAATTACTCACTTCATAAATCAACAAACAATGCAGAGAGAATGACTTCATGGTTATTAAAAGTTTTTATTGTAGTGACAAAATAGTTTGAACTTCTCCCAGAAATTCTGAACAAGCTATAAACTAGGCCTAGTTTATAGTTTGTTTGATTATTTTTCCAATACATTTGAACTTGATGTTTGTTATAATACAATATAATACATTTGAACTTGATGTTTGTTAGAGTTAAGTGGCAGAAACATAAAAAAAAAATTGTACATTAACATAGAAAAAATTTTCAATCAAAATATTAGAATTGGGAACATACATGCATGAAAAAAAGGAACAATTACAATATTATTATAACACATTAAAGAAATGCGTGCATTGTTTATTACTCATAGTAAAAATAGCAGTCAATAATCTGACCCCACTAAAGCCGTTATTCAAGTTGATTAGGAGAAAACTAGGCTAATTTTTTTCCAAAACAAATCGAAGTAGCTACTTTTGGTCAAAATCAAACTTCTATTTTCACATCAAATCAATCAAATAATTAATGAATCAAACAATCAATGAATCAAATAATCAATAAAGCAAACAATGAATCAAACAATCAATCAATCAAACAATCAATCAAACAATCAATGTATCAAACAATCAATGAATCAAACAATCAATCAAACAATCAATCAAACAATCAATCAAACAATCAATCAACCAATCAATCAAACAATCAATCAAATAATCAATAAAACAATCAATAAATCAAACAATTAATGAATCAAACAATCAATCAATCAAACAATCATTGAATCAAACAATCAATCAATAAAACAATCAATCAAACAATCAATCGTACAATCAATCAAAAGATCAATGAATCAAACAATGAATCAAACAATGAATCAAACAATCAATCAAACAATCAATCAAACAATCAATGAATCAAACAATGAATCAAACAATCAGTCAAACAATTAATGAATCAAACAATCAATCAAACAATTAATCAAACAATCAATCAAACAATCAAACAATCAATCAATCAAACAATCAATCAAACAATCAAGCAATCAATGAATCAAAAAATCAACGAATCAAACAATCATTGAGTTAAAAATTCATACAAAATATTTGGTTGTTGCGAACATAAAATTTTCGAGCTTCTATCAATTGATGTTACAGAACTTCATGTTTTTAGTGACAATGCAACATCTCAGTTTAAAAATAAGTATATTTTAACATCTATTAAAATTTTGGAAGAAAAACATACAGTTAAAATGCACTAATACTATTTTGCGGCATTGAAAAGAAAAGGAGTTGCTGATGAAATTATACATGCTCTGATGAATTTTTACATGCTCTTTAAAAGTAATTCTTATTGAGAAAAAAAAGCAAAAGAATTATGGATATATAAATAATAGTTTAAAAAAAAATAACTTCAAAGTTAAAATTTGAAAAAAAAAAAACTTTTTTATGCATTCCATAGACCATTCTCTTTTAGCTCTACTTTTATCAAATTTTCTTGTTATTGCATTTTCTTTACAATTATTTATAAAAACAATGATTTTGTATTTTATAAAATGTAAAATCATTGAATAATATAAAATGTTAACGATAAAAAAATATGGCTGCTTTATTTTGTTAAATCTTTAAAATACGTGTTGCTCATTCAAAGAACTCTATATATATGTCATTGATAAAAATAAAAATTTTCAGTGTAATCAGTTTTTAAAAATCGTTGACCTATAGAAAATCTCATAAATCTTTATTGTTAAAAATGAGTTTTTGGTTTATTTTGCACCATAGTATAAAACTTATATGAGCATCTTAAATTCTATTGAAATTATGATAAAACTGCTGTTTAAAAATGCACATTTTTGACCAAAAGCCACAGTAGAATTAATTGCATGTTCTGTAAAAAATATTAGTTTGAATTTATGAGGTTTTTAATAAAGGGTGACAATAAATTGAAATTAGTTAGTTAGTAGTAAATGCAGTAACTGGCAGAGCCAGTGAGTGCGTTATCAGGCACACTTTGACAGCGGAAATGATCGATTGCTGCTCATTCAGCAATCAATCATTCAGCAATCAGAGAGTTCCATAATTTAGCTACTCGATTAAAGAAGTTTTCTCTTTGCTTATGTTTTATCAATTCTTTGATTTTAAAGCAGTAACCTTTTATATGATTGTTAACAATTAGAAAACAAATGCCTTTTTCTAATTTATCAATATTATTCATAATTTTATACATTTGTATTAGATCTCCTCTTTATCTCCTTTTTACTAGTGTAGTTAGGTTTAATTCTTCGAGTCTTCTTGTATAGGAAAGATTCCTGATTGATGATACTAGTTTAGCAGCTTTGTGTTCGATTCTTTTGATATAGTCACAATCTGATTTATGAAATGGAAACCACACCGGTACTGCAAACTCCAGTAAAGGATAATCGAAAACTTATAATCAAAACTAACAAATGATCGAATACTTATAATCCATATTGATTTTTTGATACGACCAAGCTTTTGATTTGTAGTCAATGCTTTCTAAAAGATTAGCTTAGATGTTGGTATTCCAGTCGATGTAACTTTGTTTGATTTTGCTAAAGCCTTCGATACAGTTCGGCACAGGAGACTGTTAACCAAACTAAAAGCATATGGCTTTGATGGTCTGCTACTTAAATGAATCGCAGCTTTCTTAGAAAACAGAAGACAAAGATTTGTTCAAGGTGAAATCATTTCTGACTGGGTTAAGATTTTTAGTGGTGTACCACAAGGTTGGTAATAGCAGCACTTTTATTTGTTTTATAAATTAACGACCTTCCAAAAAAATTGCTTAATGTAACCAAACTATATGCTGATAATACAAAAGTGCTTTCTCAATTATCATTAGAGCTATGTGCTACTAATCTTCAAAATGATCTATATATTGTCTACAAATGGTCTCGAACTTGTCTTCTTCTGTTCAACATATCAAAATGTGTAGTTATGCATTATAACAACAATAACAAAAACTATCTATATAATTTAAATAGTATTCTATTAACGGAGTCAGATACAGAAAGAGATCTGGGAGCACTTTTTAATACAAACCAAAAATGGAAAAATCAAGTGTTTAATGCTTCTAAAAAAGCAAATCAAAAGCTTGGTCAATGCTTTCTAAAAGATTAGTAGTACATGATTTGTTTTTAACAAAACCACTCAAAACTTTTGCTAGTAGATTATTTTTATACAGGTACTCTTCCATTTTAGCTTTAATTATACTTTCCATAATTTTACATGGAATAGAAGTCAATGAAACTGGGCAATAATTGCAGGGAAGAGTCTTATCATCTTTTTTGAATAGGGGCGTTATGTTTGCTGGTTTAAATTGAGCTGGAAGCTGACTATAAGTTAAAGATGCCCTAATAATTAATGTTAGAGGAATAGCAAATGCTTCAGCACAGTTTTAGAGCAGAAATGGATGCATATTATCAGGACCACATGCTTTGTTTTGATTAAAGTTTTTTAATTTATGTAATATCATTAGATAAATTAAAAAACTGATATCATTTGGATCTAGATCAACAAATTTAAGTGATTTTCATTAAATTCAACTGTGAAATGTAGAAGTTCTCCATCTTTTTCACTTACGAAAACATTTTGAAAACATTTATTGAGTAGATTAGCTATCTCTCTATGTTCTTGAGTTAGATTACCATTAGCTGTTTTTAAGGCTCTGATTGATTCTTTGACTAGTTGTTGGCTGTTTAGGTATTTATACAGAAGTTTCGGATTTGATTTGGATCTTTTAACTAAATCATTTTTATATGCAAGACGAGCTATTTTAATTTCTCTTTTAACTAACGTGCGAGTCACTTTGTACTCTTTACACATAGTAAGATCTTTCCATTTACAAGCACAGTTCAGGTATATAAGGTTTTGCTTTTTTTTTTATTAGAGTTTTAAGATTATTTTTTATCCAGAGCAGTTTGTTTTTTTATTCGAGATACATCAAGCACTGGAATGAATTGATTACATGCTACATTTGAAAAGTGAATTAGTTTGTCATACATTTCCTGAACAGATAAAGTTTCAAATAGCATTACCCAATCAACATTTGTAATAAAGTCAGAGATTTTATTGGTGTCAGCTTTTTTGTAATAAAACTTTAAGTGGCTGTGCGATAAGTTATTAACCCTATTTTTAATAATGAAATCGAAACAGATAACCATATGACCTTTATTTATGTTACCGAGAACAGATCTTGGATCAATGGCGCAGATGCTTCCTGGCTGAGTTATGAAGATTAGATCAAGAGTGTTAGTAGCAGAATTATTTAATATTTGAAAAGTTGGAACATTTACATGCTGGTACACAAATGTTTTTCTAAGAGTTTCACAAAAGTTATGTTCCATGTCATTTTTATTTTTAATGTTTGTGATATATCCATTTGACCATACGATCAATGGGAAATTAAAATCCCCTGTAGTTAGTAAGTCTTTGTATCCTTTTCTACCAACATAGTCTTTAGTTTTTTTAAAAACCAAATTAAAATCGTTCATGTCAATAAAATCGTTTGGTCTGTAGATACAACCAACTAAATACTTGTTGTTTTTAAAATACACTGAAGCCCAAATTTGTTCAATTTTACTTAACTTAAAAACAGCACTTAGCTCTAATGTTTTAATAGTTTCAGTAATATATAAACATACACCACCTCCTCTGCGCTCATCATTTCTGTCTCTTCTATACAGATTATAGCCATTTAGATTTACAACCGAGATGAATTATTAGATTATAGCCATTTAGATTTACAACCTTTTGAACCATGTTTCACTAACAGCTTGTGGGTGGTAGGTGTCTACTATTACCTTAAATTCATAAAATTTATTTTCTAAAGAGGTCACATTTAAATAAATACATTTCAAAGCATTTAGTCTGTTTAAATTGGCTGAAATAATTTTATTAAATTAGTAATGTTGAACTTTAATTTTGATGATCTGATTTCCACAAATGCCATATCGAAAGGGCAAGTCTTTAGCAAAAGTATTGTTTGCTTCGTTTCTTTTCTTTCTTAAATCATAATCAAGTCTCCTTTGTGCTTCAGTTAAATCTGGACTTATGTAAATTAATTTGTAAACTTCTTTCTAAAATTTTTTGCTGCTAGAAGAAGTGGATTTCTTAATAAAACATCACTTAGTTCAACTATTATTGGACCGGGTTTATTTATGTCTTTAGATTTTAGAAAAATTTCCAACTCACCTTTTTATTAAGACCTCTCCCCCTGGCCTGTTTATTAGATCTGGACTAAAATTTCTAACCCTCTTATTACCACTCTCTTATTTTAAGCATGCGAGAGTATGAAGTTATAACAAAAATATGTTTTTAAATAAGAATATGCTGCTTTTTGGCTTATTTTGGCTGAATAGTCTTGAAAGTATAATACTGGGATAGTGAAGAAAAAGTATTTATGTGATTAATAATGAAAATGCAATATTTGTATTACATAAAACTCCTTTTAAAACCATATCCTGATTAGGCAGCTAGGGTTTAAAAAAAGAGAAAGGATGTATTTGAATATGTAGCAGGCATGGTCAGGAAGGCGTGCAATTGCACACCATTATATGACCACGCAAATAATACTTTATTTTGACAATTTGACCATGGTTTTTAACATTTTTAAAATGCACTGAAAAAATTATTTTCAATTATGTCAAAAATAAATAACTTTTATCTTTACTGACGTTTTTATCTTATTTGAAAGTGAAATGCTTTCAAATAAAGTAACGATTACTGATAATTACGTTTTAATTTAAAGTATAGATGAAATTTGTATAAATTTTGTTATTTATATATATTTAAGATTATATAATTAATAAATAAAATAATATATAAGATTTTTTTATAATTAATCTTATTTTTTAATTATTTAAATTTTATAAACGACGACTTTAAACAACGATTGTCTCTTAAATAAACTTTATTTAAGAATTATTCAAGTTAATACACTCGAAAGTATTTTATTTATAAGAAAAAAAGACAAACTTTTGAATTAAATACAGCCGTTTGAATTAAATTTTGATCTTTACTAATGTTTTCATATTATTTTAAATTTCCTGCTAATGATTTTTTTTACATTAAAATACTTATGTATTTTTCTTTTCGTCTTTAAATAAAAAAAAAATTAAATTATTAACAAATTAAATCAAATTATAAATTAAAGTTGTTTTTTTTTATCATTATTTTTCGTTTTTATCTTCACTTTTCCTCATTTGCTTTCTGATTTAGGATTTCTGACAAAAGAAAAGATTTAATTGTTTTACTTTTGTTTACATTACTACAAAGAATTGAAACGAAGTAGTTCCTTGTTAAGTTTAATTGTTTGTTTTTTTAAAATACTACTAATGCGCTATCAAGTTTTTTATAAAAACAAAAATGTTCATTTACATATTTTTGTCGATTAGTAATATTTATTATTATTATTTTTTTTTTTGCTATTGATATAATTTTTATATGGTGCGGTAACAAAGCAGATGGGACACTACTAGTTTTGCATTATAAAAACTTCAGTAAAGATTCAAAGTTATTTATTTTAAGCGTAATTATCTTATTGTTTATTATTTATTTTAGTAAAGTTTTGTTTTTATTCTTTTTTATTTTTGTTTTAGTCATTTATTACTAAGCTATTTTTATTTTATTTTTCATTATTTTTTTAAAAAGATTTTTTTTTTTTTTAAATAAGTTTGTTTTTTTAGTTTCTTTATAACTAAGTTTTCAGCACTTTATTAAAATGTTAAAACTGTGGTCAAATCGTCAAAACAAAATATTATTTGGATGGTCATATAAAGCAGTGAAATCACACGCCTTCCTGACCAAGCCAGATGTAGGGGTTTTATTTGAAAATTAAGGATAGATGTAGTTCAATGTGCATACAATGACTGACATATAAGAAAAAACAAAATAAAATGTACATACATCAACTTATGGGACAAGTTACAGGTTTATATACTATATCTTGTATTTAAATAATTCCCATACTTTTAAAGTTTGACTATTTCTGTAAGATAAAAAGAATATTAAACACCATTTTTTGTTTATATTCTAAATTATAACAAAGAAAATGATTAAAATTTTTTTTCTACTTTAGGGATTTGGATTCCACTAATGTTGACAAAATAGACATTACACAACTACGGAATGACATAAAGGTTTAACTTAATATAATACTTAATATAAAATAATTTATAACGATTTTATTGTAAATTTATATTTTGTTTTTTAATTTGAAACATGCATCTTTTAAATGCTTGCAAAAACGACCTTTATTTTTTATAAATAAACTATCTTTCAATTTTAAACATTTGTTATTTCATGACCTCATAAGGCTTGATCATCCTATTGTTTTTTACACAGTAGGATGATCACACTTCTATAAAAATACATCTACTATGTTTGATTAATTTTCATTTTGCATACAGTTTTAATTTCTTTTCCATTTAATTAAAATATATTTTTAAAGAAAAGTTTTATAATACACAAGTTATAAAGTAAAACAAGAATTAAGTTGAAGGTATAATGAGTTATGAAAATGCTTATTGTTTTGATTAATATGATATCTTTAACCATGTTAAGAATTTTTTTCTAAATAAGATAATATAACATTTTAGTATAAAAACATATATTTTGAAAAATGAGCATAAAACTCTTGAATGTAAAATTAAAAGTTTGATATTTCTAGTAAAAATATAAGAGTTGAAAACGGAAAACAGTAATCTATGGGGTTAAATGAAATAATAATATAGTTGTCTACTTGGTAAGTTGGAGATTTTATAACTCAATTATGATTAAACTGACCGTTGACTCTATAAATTAATTGCTTAAAGTGATCAATCAACCTCTATAAGTTAAGTTGTATAAATTTTAAACCATTTCTTATCAAATCTATTTTAATATGAAATATGCCTCAAAACAACTGGCAAAGTGTTTTAACATACAGCAAAGCAAATTTAACAAAGCAGGTATTAACAAAATCTTTTTATGACATTTGTGGAATTTTCATGAAATCAATTAACAAGACTGCACATGCTGCACAAATTCAACCCAACCTCTCAACATTACAATTAATGTATCACATTAATTGTGATAATCACAAATCAACAACTCAACATCAGAAATAATTTTTTTTTACTTTATTAATTGGTTGTCAGAGTTTTAGTTGTTATTAATAGTTGTTCTTTTTTAACAAAGTGTTCTTTTGTTCAACTTGCATATTTCATTTTTCCCAAATGCAAAAATGAAATAAAGTTTTTTAAAACGCTAAAAAAAATTTTTTAAACAGTTAAAAATGCTCTATATCTTAAAAAATTAAAACATTTTTTCATTCGAACCCATTTTACTCTACTTGGAAATTGTTTTTTTTTAACTATGATAATGTATATGTTTAATATATATTATTCTTAAATTATAAATAAAATTATTCTTAAACTATAAATAAATCTCTTTAGTATTAAAATCTTTCAGCTATAATACCTATTACATCTCTTTAGTAAAAATTAAATAAATGTTATCATATTTTACCATCTCTCAATTTTGTTTATATGCAGCAGAATTGGCTATCTTTCAAAGTTAAATTATAATAATAAAAACTCTTTATAGCTTAAATAACCATTATCTTAAACAATTTTATTTATTTCTTCTATATTGTAGTCACAACTTGTTTCTAATTAGTACTTCTTTCTTAAAATTATAGGTTCATCTTGTATATTAGCACTATTTTATATTTGTTGCTCTTTCGTGTTTATGTTTTTATATTTTAATTTATTCATGTGTATTTGTTCATCTTGCATATATCTTGTAAGTTTGTTGAGTCATAAATGAAACTTATTATATGAAACTAAAAATATGAAACTTTTTGAGTTATACCTCATGTTTAATTCGAGTCATACATTTATTTTAATCATTCATTTTTTTGTACCCATTTAACTAAAGTAACCTAAAAGCTTTTTTATTTTTTTCATTTTTTAGGAGGTTGTTCACAGTATGGAAATGTGTTATGGCCAACTAGGAAGTCTTTTTAGAAGTGGTATAATTTTATTGTTATTAATAATATTAATTTTTTAAATAATTTTATTGTTATTATAATGTTATTAATCTATTGTTCTTTTTAAAAACAATTTTTTAAAGACTTTAAAATAATAATAGTTTATGTACTTTAAATAATAATACCTTAAATTGCATAAAATAAAAAGTTAAAATTAAAATCAGTATACTTCATAAATGAGAAGTTCAGACTTTAATTTTCACCTTGTATCTTGTATCACAGTACCTAGCACTGTGCTTAACTTGTTTCACAACAGGCTTCTTTGTTATTTCCCACCATGGATCTGGTAGCGGTGTGCTTACTTGTTTCACAGCAGGCTTCTTTGTTCCCAGGCCCATGTTTTTGGGTTAAAGGGTTGAGAGAGGGTTGTAACTACAATTTAAATTAAAAAAAAAAAGTAGTAGTCTTCACCACTATGGTTTCTTTGCCTTTGAGGAGGTTAATGTAGTAAAAAAAAAATCAACAAATTTTTGGTCAAAAAACCTTTTTTTAAGGTTTCACTTTTTGTTTTTTGTTTTTTTTTAATTTTTTTTTATGAAATATATATATATTTTTTTATTAGCTTAATCTTATTTCAAAGTTTAATATTGTTTGTAGCTATGCTATACATAAAATGAAAACATAGCATAAAAAAGCTAAGTAACTTTGAAAGGTCACTGTACAGTGTACATAGAAACTGAAAAAAAAAACTACATTATAAGAACCGCAACCAACAAAATAGTCTGGATAAAATATTTTTTGTTTGAAATTTTTGGTAAGATTATTTATTGAATTCCAGCACAACTGGAACCGTGTTTACTTTCTTTTTTTTTTTTTTTGCCTAATTGAAGTATTTAAAATGAGCATTTTTAAACATAAATTTTGGTTTATACATAAAGTTTGGTATTTTTTGCATAAAGTTTGGTTTTTACCTGTTAAGAAGTGTTATGATCCTGTTTTGTGAGATAAATCTTATGTGCATGTTGTACTCAAGTTTGTTGATAATTATCAGCTGTCAATTTTTTTCAATTTTTTTTTTAAAGTTTTTAAAAAGTATTATTTATACTGCTACATAAATCTTATAAAAAATAAAAAAAAATTTTAAGTATTAAGCAATTTTGTTTTTATTTAGGATCAAGACAAACATTTTTTGCAAGTCAAAGCATGAGGTATGCAGATTTGTATGCAACATCTTGTGTGAACTTGCTCTATTATCCATTTAGCTATCTTTTCAGAGCACCTCCTCAACTGGTATATTTTTACTTTCATCTTAGTTGCTTAGTGACAACAGTTGTTACTTTCAACAGTAACAAGTGTCAACATAAAGTTGATGTCACTTGGTGACATCAAATTTATGTAGTTTCATTATTTTTGTTTTTTATAATTGATTGTTTTTAGGTCTGGTGATAAGTATTTGATGATAAATATCTTTAAATATAATAAAGTTAAATTTATTTATAAATTTAACTTTATTATATTTAAAAAATTGTTAAAAAGAATTTATTAGAGCAGTTTAAAATGTTCTTTTAATTGATTTTAAAACTATAATTGCTTTTGAAAATTTCAATAATCGAATATTTATATTAAGTTTAAAAACTTTTTTCCCTTTAATTTATAAGAACAGGGCAAACCAAGCAAAAATAATTTTGAACTACCTTGCTGACACAAAAATATAAAATTAAGTTTAACTATCAACTACCTTGTTGGCACAAAAATATAAAAATAACAAGGAAGTCATTATTAAAAACTGATTAAAACACACAAAAAATGGTGTAAAGGGTAATTCATCCAAAAGATTAAAATCAAAATTGAAAAAAAATATATATATATTTATTTTACCACGTTTTTATTAGCTCGCTTTCTTGTTTGTTTGTTTGTCCGGGTGGAATTTTGCAACTCAATTTTAACCCACTTTTCGATTAGCTAGAGCTCTGAAACTTTTACTATAGCTCAGAACCCGATGACAATGCAATATTATACTACTTTTACCATGATTTGCCGAGTTTCTTGAACAATTTCAGCAAAATAAAATTTATTATGGCGAAACTTTTGGAGGCGTCGTCGCAATTTGACGCGTCACTTTAAATAAAAAAAATTTCGAACAAAAAAACTAAATTTAACTGTCGCTGTGATTTTAAATGGACCACAGCATAAAAACAAAATCAGTTGTTTACAAAATATAAAATTCCACCCATCAAAAACTAAAAAGAAGAAAATAATATAACAAAAAAATTTTTTTTTGTTATATTATTTTTATAAAACCACGTTTTTGTAATGAACTAAAAAGTAGAAAATAATTTTCTCTTGTGGCTATAGAAATTTTTGAAAATTAATTGAGTCGATAATAAGTGACATGAAAACTTTTGATTATGAACTCTTAATAATTACGATAATATTTGTAAAATTTTAAACGAAAAACGTGGTGCGCATTTTATGAAAAAAAAGAACAGAAGAAGGAAGCAATAGTTAAAGTAATTAAGGACGATGATGATCATTTAAAGTGACAAGATGCGCACCATGTTTTTCGTTTAAAATTTTACAAATATTATCGTAATTATTAAGAGTTCATAATCAAAACAACACTATGCATTGGTTCTAATCTAGTTTAAACGTATTGGGATTAAATTTGTATGTTGCATTTCTGCATCACTATACATTCAAAGGTTAGGATATTGTTTAGCCACAACCAAAACAATTACATTCACAAATAAAATGAGGAAAGAAAAACAAAATTTAAATAAAAAATATTTAAAGCATTTTATATCGCTTATCTCAGATTATTAGGGTGGTTCACATACCATAACCAAAAATAAAAGTTATTTCTAATCAAGTGCTCATACTTTTTTGTCTTCCTTTATATCACTGTAGCAAAAGTGTCAAATATTTTAGTACTGCCTCAAAGCACCTGAAGTTTGTATGAAATACCAGTTTACGAGTTTATGCATTGCTATTGCTATGCAACACTATTATTTAATATTAACAATTGTTTCCAAATATATTCCAGCAAACTTACTTATTAAAAAAAATAGCACAATACATTTATAAATTTTAAATATCCTATGCAGTGAAATATATAATAAATATTAAATATTCTTTGTAAATTACACACTAGTCTTATATCTCAAATATTTAATTTATAAGAAAAAACCTAGACATTGTTTTCAAAATTACTGAATAATACTAATCCATGTTTATCTTCTTACTTTATAAAGGTTAAAAAAAAACAATGGCTGTAACACTGTTAGTACTGTTTTCTTAATTGGTGAGCCACAAGATACATTTGACTTCAAAGGCTGCCAACGACTCAAGAAGTTTTGAGAGTTTATTTTCACCATCATAAGAATGAAAAACTTTCATTAAAAGAAGCTATTAAACTTGCAATTCAACAGCTATGTGAAATTTGGGCCAAAGCAAGGGTACCAATGACTGAACTGAGAAATATCATTAGAAAATTTGAGGATTTATTAGACCGTTACCAGAACGTCTGTTGCAATAAAAGTGGAAAAGTTGTCCAAAAAAATTGAAAAGAAAAAGAGTGTCCAAAGAGGTAGAATGACAAGCCAAAAAAGAAGAAAGAAAGAACAGTTCTGCTGAATCTGCAACTTCATCCGCATCAGGTCTGTTCAGTAGTTCTTAAGCTGAATCATCTGAGGCATCTAGAGAGGAACATCCAGCTTTAATAAGACTCCAAAACGTGCACAAGTAGCGGCTAAGCATGTTTTAACACCTGAGGTTGCAACAGTGCTGGGTCATACAAATATCAGCAACAGAAAAGCTGCGTTTATCCTCACAGCAGCAGCACAAACCTTCAGCAACCAAGATGTAACTATCCTGCCACTCTCTACCAGTAGTATTCGTAGAAGCAGAAGAATGCACCGAATCCATCAAGCTGACAGCATGAAGGCTTCATTTGCTGCTGATGACCCCTTGGTCGTCCATGTTGACAGTAAACTACTTCCAGTCATTAGTGGTGGACCAGATAAAGAAGATCTTATTACAATTCTGGTAACAGGTTGTCATACCAAGAAACTTCTTGCCATCCCCAAAATTGGACATGGAAAATGAGAACACGTGGCACAGTCAACATTTGCAACTTTACAGGAGTGGAATCTGGCGGAGCAGATTGCTGGAATATCATTCGACACAACTGCATCTAACACAGGTCGTTTAAATGGATCTTGTGTTTTACCGGAGAAGAAGTTACGTAAAGATCTACTCAGGTTTGCTTGTAGACATTATGTGCTTGAAGTGGTTTGTGGAGACGTGCTTAAGAAATTGTTTGGTCCGACATCTTTTCCAAATTTAACACTATTTTGTCGTTTTTAGGAATTCTGATCTCAAATAGAACAATCTGATTAAAAGTGTTGTATGGATAGTCCAGTCTTGACAACCTCAAGCATGATGTGATCATTTTTGCAAAGAATGCTCTAGCGGGACAAAAAAGATGTCTTCCAAGAGAAGATTACAGAGAACTTCTTGAACTCACATTGACTTACAATTTGAAAATCTTTCTGTTTCAACACTAATTCAAACTGACAAAGCATAAAAGCAGTGCTTGTCTAAATTTTAGTTTATTTGTCACACATCTTCAAATGCATGCAATGCTCCGAGCAACGATCTGAACTTCATTCGAACCATTGCAGACTACCATTCAACTAATGATGCTGTAGCCAAGGCGGCTGTCGGTGCAATTAGACGTCATTTATGGCACTTAAGCGAAGAAATGGTACCTCTTAGCCTCTTCTCAGACATGGTGACACTGAACACAAAGCAGAAAATGGTGAGTCGACTACGAGAACACCCAGCTGGATGAAATGAAGATCGTTCAGTCAGATATACAGGAAAAGAAAACTTCAGCACAAAAACTCTCGATCATTCCATTGGACCTACATCCCACCTGTTTTTTGCCTTCATATTGATACCTCCTTTCTGTCAGAAGATGTAGATAAGTGGCCAGAACTGTCGTTATTCATCATTAGAAAAAACACTGCTGAATCTTTAAAAGTAATCAACGACAGCGCTGAGAGGGCTATCACTATAGCCACATATTTACATTTTATTTACCATTGCATTTCAATAGCAAAAAGTGCGAAGTATGTTCACTTTCGACTCGAAATTTCAAATTAGCTCAAATTATGAAACTTCATGGTCTTTGAGGCAGTTCTAAAATATACGTTACACCAAAAATACTTTTTGTGGCCTATCTTATGAGCAAAAGGAACACAAAAAAGCAAGAGCATAAAGGTTTTGACATGATTCATTTTTTTGAATCACTGTAATATATATACAGTGCTCGAAGTAAGGCGGGATGCAATATATACATACATGTATGTATGTATGTATGTATGTATGTATGTATGTATGTATGTATGTGTATATATATATATATATATATATATATATATATATATATATATAATATATATATATATATATATATATATATATACATTTATATGTTATATATATATATACACATATACACACATATATATGTTTTCCGGAGAGAGAGAGATTCATGTATGGATGTATATGTATAAATAGTATATATGTATAATATAGCCTTAAAATTAACAAAAATTTATATCAGTTGTTCAAATTTAGATGCCTCATGAATCTACCGTACATCACGAGAAGCATGTTACTAATTACGGTCCATTAGAAAACGCCCGTAGAAGCATTATTTGTGATGTGAACCACACGATGTGTAAAACTTTAACTGAAGAACATGAATGTGACGAGGAAGAATTCCGCGAAGGAGAGGTTTCATGTATTGCTGATGCAACGACTACCGAGTCATAAATAATCTTTTGAAAATTACTAAAGCTTGTGAAATTACAAGCTATTATTATTTATTATATGACAAACTGTTTATTTTTAGAAGTTTTGGTTTTATATTTTGCGATTTATGAATAATTAGGCTCAATCCTGTTTTTATACAAGTTTGAGTATCAAGTAATGTCATTTTTTTAAGATTATAATAGCGTTAGAATGAAAATATACCTAAATTATATCAAGTTATTTTGTAAAAGGATTGTTATTGTTTTGACCCATGGTAATATACTTTTATAGTTTGAAGTTAAACTTAGAAATCGTTAAGTAATTAAAGCTTTTCTATTTCCTATTCCTATGGTACTAAAAAGCATTTTTTTAATGTTAAGGTGGTAGACTTTTTTTTAATGTTAAAGTGGTAGACTACTTTTTTAATGTTAAGGTGGTAGAGTTGTACTAAAAAGCACTTTTTTAATGTAAAATAGGAATAAAATCCAAATCTAATATTTTTCTCATAAGAAGTTTATAAAAAAAAAGTTTGAAAGTTTTTTTTTTTATCCATAATGGCAGAAAAACTGCCTTAAAAATGCCTAAAATTAAATAACTTTGTGACGTATTATTTTCCGTTATATAAATTTTCTCTGGTTCAAACTTTGTAGATGCAATACAATGATTTGTTCCGGTTGACAGATAGATTTTTAATTTCAGTACTTATTTTAAATTTTATTGCGAAATAGTGAAAACATACTTGAAATACTAAGTAATTTGATTTATGCACAAACTTCTTTATTTAAAAATATTGAACAGGAATTTTTTAAATCCAATCTTTTAATCGAATTTTTTTATTATACTGAGTATACCCTGAAAATATCAGACTAAAATCATTAGCCATTACAAAGATATTACGTTTCAAAGTTAGTATTATTAAAATCAAAAGTTGCTAAAACACATTTCAAATTTTTTTCAAGTAAAATCTTGTTTAATGTCCACTAGAAACATATGACTGATTAGCTTTATTTGACTTTAGTTTCTTCGTCAATTTCTAAAATTTTAATAGAAAGTAATAGAGGATCAGAAAAAACTCGTCTGCATAAATTTCCGGTATTAATAGCTCCTAAACCGCACTTTTGGTCCATCAACTCTCAAACCAAATTCTTTAAACATCCTATTGTTTCTCAATATAAATAGATCTTTTAAAACTTTTTTACTTTCCAATTTTTTATTTCGATTCTATGTGAAATAAATTTAAAAAATCTGCCTGCCCGTGTGTAACAAATCCTTTCTTTAAGATTAATAAATTGCTCATCATGTTAGGTGTTACAATTCGGAAAACATTGTGTTAAAGAAGTGTCCGTGATGTAAACTTAGATTTTCTCATCAAGGACAAAACTATATTTGATCAAAACATACTATAGTATTTTTTATACATTAGTAATAATGTCCGGGAAGGTAAACTTTAACAGGATATAAATTTCTTTTTAAACTTCATTTTCAATTTCGTTCTTAATTTTTAATGCCACTTCTTTATTTTTCTTTATATACTCCAGCATAACTAGTTGTTGACCAGTTATGCTAGAGTTTATAAAGGACACTTATCGTGTTATTTGTAACGACACAAAGTAATTCCACTAAATTTAGTTTTTGTTTATTAAATGCTATTTTTTATGCCGCTGACAAAATTAGTGTCATTTGTATTAAAAATTGAATTATGCCAAACATGATTTCTACTATTAAATGTTTCTTTTTTTTTATAAGATGCATGCCATAATGCAACATACTTTGCAAGAGTTAGTTTTAGTCTCTTTCTTAAAAAATTTACTTTTTCTTCTCTGACTTGAATATTAGTAATAATGTATCTAAATCCACCATCGACATAATCTAAAGTATTTTTGAAACGTGAAGGGCATCACAAAATTTGTCTTAAATTGACCGCCTCCATTACTTTAGTTTACAACATTATACTTACAAATTAAAAATAAATTTTTTAACATTATTTAGAAGTTCATGTGGTTTTTAGTCGATCAGTGGGACATCAAAAATGCACTATAGAATTATTTTTCCTTAAATTGATTATGCTTTTTAAAATCATAAGCACTTAAAAAATGAAGTAAATTTGTTTTTGTGTTGTTCTTGAAAAGAAAAAATAACATTTTTCTTTTCAAGAACTACACAAAACCAAATTTACTTTAGTCTTTCGTGCCTTAAAGAAGTTTTTTTAGTTTTAATAAAGAATGAAAAAAAAAGTTGTTTTTATTCGAAGAAAGTTTTTACTTTTTTAAAAAAACATCAATTTTTCAATATTATTTAGCGTTCAAGATCGCGGATGATTGCAGCCACACTTCACAGGTTGACACTATAGACTAAAAAATATCAAAATATGGAAAAGGTACACATTGGAATTATTTTAATTCTTCATCAAAGTTGAAATAAAATACTTTTGTGATGAACTTTTTACTTTTAATGCATAAAATACTATTGTACCAACTTTTTAAAGAAATTTTTTATTTTAATTTTAACAGCCCGTTTTATTATCTTTAAAATTATGTATATATTGTGAATTTTCCAATCATCTATATATAAAATAGTAATAATTACTAAAATCCTTTAAAAACATATAAATTTATATTTACGAAAATCATTTGCAAATACCCACCCTGGTGTAACATGTTGGACAGCCAATACCGCTTTATCAACAATATAGTTTTGTATAAATCTAATAATTATCTAGAATACATTAAACTTAAGTAAACACAAAATGTGTTTAGGATCTTTAAAAAAAACGTATTAAAATGATTTTTTTAGACGTGTTAAGAGCAATTGTCTGAGAAATCTAGGCAAAATCTGCAAGTGAAGTCTTCAAATTGTCCTTATTTTTAGATATTTTGTAAAAGACAATGAAAGTAGACCACTGGTAAATTTTTTTCGAAAATTTTTATTTGTTTCGGAGATATTGGGTCCTAAAAATTGGCCCATTTTGAGAAAATATTCGTACAAAGAGTGCATTTACTACTTTGAGGGACAATTTTAGCAACATTAATATGACAGACATATACTTTTTAAAATTTTCTGCTAATTTGGGTAGAATTCTAAAGTAAAAGTAAAAATTCAACATGGTTACATACTTGGTTCTCTAGAAATCATGGTCCGAAACCACTAATTTTGAAATTTTACCCTAACTTTGAGCTCCAATATCTCTTAAGACCATTACTTGCACGTAGTTTTCTTTGGTATTTTTGAAAGACACTAAAGCATAAATTGATTATATGGAACTAATATCATGCGCATGCAAGGACCCGGGAAGAAGTAACCTGCCGAAATTCACTTTTTGCGTTCAACGCATTTTGAAAGATTACCCATAACAACCATGGCCTTAGGTCTGCCGTAAAAAGTATAAGTTATTTAGTTTCCTTAAACATGGATATTCCAATATCTGAAAAAAATCCATGCGTTTGGATAATAAAAAGCCTACAGAAGTCCTAGAAGTAACTTACTTTGGTTTAAAGATTATTTATCAAACCGAAAGCAATATATTCAGCATGAAACAACAAAAACAACAAATAGCGCCATAACTTGCGGGGTTCCCCAAGGCTCGATCTTGGGACCATTATTATTTTTACTCTATATAAATGATTTATATTCAACATCAAACTTATTAAATTTAATCTTGTTTGCGGATGACTCCAATTTGTTTTATTCGCATAGGGACATTAGGACACTTTTTAACATAGTTAACAAAGAATTAGATAAAATAAACGAGTGGTTTAGGTGTAACAAACTCTCTTTGAATGTCAAAAAAACCAAGTTCATCCTATTTCATAAACCAAATAAAAAAGAAAATATTCCTCTTAAACTACCTGATCATAAAATAAATAATACTAATATAAAAAGAGAAAATTTTATAAACTTTCTAGGTGTGGTCTTGGATGAAAATTTGTCGTGGAAGCTCCATATAAACACTTTAGAGAGAAAGCTCTCAAGAAATATTTCATTAATGTATAAAGCAAAACCTTTCCTAAATATTATTTTCTTAAGAAGTTTATACTTTTCATTAATACATAGTCATCTAAGCTATGGTAACATGGCCTGGGCAAGCACAAACTGTACTAAGCTTAAAAAACTCTACAGTAAACAAAAACATGCCTGTAGAATTGTCTTCGGAGTAATTAAAAAAGCGTCTAGTGAACCTCTCTTATGCAAACTTGGAGCATTGAATATATACAAAATTAACATACATCTTGTTTTACAGTTTATGTACAAAATAAAAAATGGACTATCTCCGCCGATATTTCAACCCTATTTTAGCGAAATAAGTCATAAATACCCTACTAGATTCTCAAATAACAACTTTGTCATCCCAAAATTTACATTAAAGTTAAATTCATACTCAATCCAACACCGCGGACCTTATTTGTGTAAAATTTTTCCCCAGATTGTTACTATCAAAAGAAATACACTTGAACAGTTCAAATCTGAATCTAAGCGTTTTTTATTATCTACGGACTTAAATTTTTATTTTATTTTTTAGTAAAAAAATAAACTAGCACAATTTATTTCTTTTATTTGTTTTAACTTTTACTTGTTCTAAATTTATTTTACTAAACGAATTTAAATATAAACAGTTAAACCAATTGTAAAACGTAGTTTTTCACATTTTTACATATTTTATCACAAACAATTTATCACGATTTTATATATTTTGTTGTAAAAAACGACCTGTAATGAAGTCAGTTGGTGTCAGGTCAGGAGTATGGTCTTCATGATCATCCTGCTACTGGTAACATGTAACCCAGTGCAACCTGTTCCATGTTCTGCTGCCTTGCAGGATTTGCTATCTAAGCAAAGGCTGGAAGGAGTGTTCTTCCTGTCATCAGTACTATCTTATATCAGTCATGCCTATAGTAATTTTTTTTTTTTTTTTTTTTTTTTTTCCCCATATAGTTGGAGGTGCCTTAGTTACTGTATTAGCTCACCTGTAATCTACGTTATATGTATGTTTGTGTTCTGTCTGAACCTCTGGCGCGGTGTTCGCTCACCCGTAAGTTACTTTATGTTCTTTATGTATGTCTGTGTTTTGTCTGAACCTCTGGCGCGGTGTTCGCTCACCCGTAAGTTACTTTATGTTTATGTTTATGTTTATGTTTATGTTTTTGATGTTTTTTTATGTATGTTTGTGTTCTGTCTAAACCTCTGGCGCGGTGTTCGCTCACCCGTAAGTTACTTTATGTTTATGTTTATGTTTATGTTTATGTTTATGTTTAT